ATAATGATGGTGTTTACATTTGTTTGTTGATGTGACCTCATGACCTGTGACGTTTAGATAACGTCATATGGATATCATGGCTATTCACTGTGTCAGAGTCACTTCTCTGCAGGTAGGGTGAGTCTGTCGTTCAGATTGACATAACAGCAGAAAGGCTGTCGTTTAGAAGGTTGGCGTCTCAGGAGTGTTTTGCACGTGACGTCAGTGAGAGATTATAAATAGATTATGTGAACAGCTGCTTTTCATTGGCCGTTTACTGAACACAAGTAAGAACACAGCGCAATAAAAAAAATTGTCTGGGGTTAACTAAAATTGTGTCCGGTAAAATATAAAATACGATATAAAATAAAAACGACACGAAAAATAGAGATAGAGAGAAATGGGGTTTAACGTCCACTCGACACAAACTAGGTCATTTCGGGACTAACATATGGTTCAATTTTATTTCAATTATTCGTTTGCGCGCAGGGGTCTTTAGCAGTGGTAGGAAACAGGAGGACCCGGAGAAAACCCACGAGGTTGGACAGGCGACCCTACTCCTTGTCACGTACAACTAGGGATTCGACGAAACGAAAAAGAATAGAAAACGATTTAACTAAAAAGTGATAATATCAGCATAATTTTTCTCATCAGCGTTCCCTCTTGGCGGTTTTAATAACGTTATGTAGAATAATTGATTAAGTTCGTGGTTTAATAGCTTTTTTTTATAAATTGTATATTTTAAGCAACATTCTATACAATATTGACAGCCCGAGTATGATTTTAATGCAATAATGGACAATTTTTATAAAATCAAACATCTATCCGTTATGTTGATCTACTCATATACAAATTGATCATGATTGGCAGTTTCCTGGAATTCAATACGTATAAATTGATTTCACTTATTATCGTTGCAGTTGTAGATTCGTTCTTAATATCAATTATTGATTGTAAAAAGACATGCATCGCTTGATATCACAAAACACCGCCAGTTAATTATCAGTCTCATGACACCGTACAACGATGACCCTTTTAAACTATATAATAAGACTTCAGTAAATATTACTGCAGAGCTCGATACAAAGTTTGTTTTTTCTTCTTTTTTTCGATATTTACCAATATTTAGGTACTTATGAGCTTCAGTCAGAAATTCATCCAGAAATAAAGAGTCCCGCGTGTATGAGAGTTGTTGAAGCAATAGGAATAACACAAGATCGTTGGTGCGATTCCGCTGTTGTTCTGGGCAACGGATATGTATCTAGGGGTTTCCGTGGGGTTTCCGTTTCCAAGTTAGAGGGAGATCGGAACTTTGGAGATTGCCTCAGGATGACAAACCTTATACTCTATCGCTCACGCATTAAACCATTCGGCCCCCACCCCATAATTTGGAAATCATCAACTCAATGATTTCATGAATATCCATTCGCCTAAACCTCTTAGTACTATAGCTTTATAATTATTGTAGGCCTAGTGTAGACCTTTAAAATAAAATGAACAAAGCGAGAGAGAGAGAGAGAGAGAGAGGGGTTTAAAGTCCACTCGACTCAAACTAGGTTATTTCGAGACTAACATATGGTTTAATTTTATTTCAATAATTCGCTTGCGCATAGTGGTCTTGAGCAGTGGGAGAAAACCGGAGGACCCGGAGAAAACCCACGAGGTTGGGCAGGCGACCCTACTCCTTGTCACGTACAACTGGGGAATCGAAACCACGCCAGTTGACTCAATGACAGACTTTATGATACAGCGCGCACCCTAATGAACAAAGCACTTTACAACCAACTAGCTGTAAGTAATAGTAAACAATGGCAAGTTTAATGACATTTAATGCTGTTTTATTGTTAAATCGCTCTATAATGGAACAGATATTAATCTCTATTCCGCCATAACATGTTTCTTGAGTCATAAAGTATTTATTTAATTTCTTTTCTCTGAGGCGGTAGTGGGGGGGGGGCTGGGCGTCTTTTTTTAACCGTTTTACAATGGCGGATTTTGCCCTGTCAGTGGCGCGTGTCCGCTTCTCTTTAGATTGTTGGGGATCTATCACATGGGACCAATTCCTGTACGGGACTTTCACTGCTTTAAGGACAAGGCTTATCAGAGATTAGATTAACCTTTAAAGTTCAATTTGATAACCTTTGTACTAGATTGAATAGATTATAAAATAGATAACGTATTATCTTTATATCATCAGTTGATTTATCGACCCGGATGAGATGTAATTATAAATATCACTCTTATTGTAAGTACCAAACACTAATTTAACTTATCGCAACCTGTATAACATATGTAGTGTCAGAACTTAATGATGGAGGTTGGGTGGAAGATTGGTTAACGCGTGCACGATAGGTCATAAGGTCTGTTAATGAATTAAACGGCGCGTTTTCGATTCCCCGTTTGTACGTGACAAAGGAGTAGGTTCGAAAGTCTAATTGCGTAGGATTTCTCTGGGTCCTTCGGTTTCCCCGCGCATGTAAATTATTGAAATAAAATTGAACCTTATGGTTATCCCGAAATGATCTAACATGTCTGGAATGGACGTTAAACCCTCTCACTCAGAACTTAATATTGAGTTGACATTTCATCTATCTCAGCTGTTCGCTATGTTATCTAGCATTAGTATTTTGATTTAATTTTGCTATCTTAATTAAATGTTAAATAATCAATCTGAATAAATATTAAGCCATGCGAAAAACGCAAATGACGCATTTTCTTTAAACTGAATGTCAACACATAGTTAAAAAACACACGTAGTAATACTTTCTCCAGATTTCATGAAGGTTTCTATATTTATAATCCCTATTATAGATCTTTCTTTAGACTTCAACTGTTATATTAATTATAATCTATACATTTATTCACATGACAAGCCTATAATCAACACTCAAGATCACTGGTGGCCGAGATTAAAATGGATTAGAACACTCGCGCGATTTAATAATTCCATTAGACCTACCGTTGCCACGATAATAAACAATCTAAGCTACATCGTGTCTAAACTTCAGACACTCATAACTTTACTCTGAATAAAGTAATTTGAATGAAATTTTCAATATATTCATTTTTCATTATCGATTTTTGAACAATTATAGCTAGAACGGTCAGCCCTTTACATAATGTTTTATTTTATTTTTCAGGATTTCCAAAATGGACGTTCTCTCTTCACTTCTGTTTTTGGTTTATTTTGTGTTTGGTATCGACGGTCTGGGTTTTACTTTCAGAGAATACGGCAATGGAAACTTTACTATATATTTAATGGGTGACAGACCAGTAAGTTATCTCAATATATATATTTAATGGAAGATAGGTCTAAATAAAATGATTCAACAATAAACCAAACTTCTTGAGATATATAATATAATCATAAGTAATCTACATAAAGAAATGAAATGAAATGAAATGGGGTTTAACGTCCTACTGTTCTGCTCTTATACTGGGCTAATGAAGACGGGCATACACCATACAATTTTGCCCGGGCAGCGGCACTATCGCCTACTCTTATATCGAATCCCAACTGCCAGGGGATCTTTTACGTGCATTCCAATATATACATGGGACCTCGGTCTGTCATTGAGTCAACTGGCGGGGTTTCGATTCCCCGGTTGTACGTGACAAGGAGTAGGGTCGCCTGTCCAACCTCGTGGGTTTTCTCCGGGTCCTTCGGTTTCCTCCCACAGCTAAAGACCCCTACGCGCAAGCGAATTATTGAAATAAAATTGAACCATGTGTTAGTCCCGAAATGACCTAGTTTGTGTCGAGTGGACGTTAAACCCCATTTCTCTCTCTCTCTCTCTCATAAAAAAACTAGTTATTTTCAATATGGAAACCGTAAGGAAAATATCCTTTACTGCCAACTAATAAATAAATTTAGTAATCTCAATAATCATCTTTTCCAACACTACCTATCTGAATCAAAAACTATTTCCAAAATCCAATTCTTCGGATGAAGATAACTTCAACTTTTTCTTCTCTTGCCCATCTTATTCAACTATCAGAATCGAACTATTAAATTCTCTAAAGGTATTCACAGAAACTGTTAATCTAGATCTAATTTTAAATGACCCTAGAGATCTTTCGAAAACCTTTAATATTTTGATTTTTGAAGCAGTCCATAATTTTATTAAAATTATCAAAAGGTTTTCATTCGCTTTTACATATTGTTGTATAATATCAAATAATTTCATGAACTATATTTCGTATACATCATTTCCACATGAAACTGTATATATGTTCGGTTTTACAATTTATTATATTTAATCTTATTTTAATGTATATGTTTATATTTATCGTTTATTATTTTCTGTATCCCTGGGAAAGAACTTATATTGGCTGTGCCTGTTGATCAATCCTTTTCAAATGAATAAAATATTGTTTAAATACCCCCCCCCCCCTCCGCCCCCGACGATAAGGGAAGGTTGCTCGAGTGGCGTTGCTAGGTACGGCGTCAGCCAAGACACATAACACAAACATGACCTCTTTTGATAGATTTTGTATAGCAGGGGTATTCCCCGGTGAATACAATGTTTTGAGAATGAAATGAAATGGGGTTTAACATCTTCTGTTCTGCTCCGAACTGGGCTAATGAAGACGGATATACGCCATACAGTGTGCTGTGAGGGAACTTTTGCCCGGACAGCGGCACTATGGCCTACTCTTACATCGAATTCCAACTGTCAAGGGATCTTTTACGTGCACGCCAATGTGTACACGGGGTTTTTGAGAAGGATGTGAACCAAAATTATGACAAATTAATATGTTTTTAGCTCAAATATATCATCAAATCACCCAGTTTATACCCGGGAATGTATCTTTAATAATTGAGCATGTTGGGTTTTTTTTATGTGTTAGATAATCCAACATTCTGCTCGTCGACCTTTTGTGTACATCGGTTCTGGTGAAACGGAGTTTATAGAGAAGTATGGTAATTATAAGATTGCTGATTATACAGGAGAAAAGATTGGTTTATTATCCTATACGGTAACCAATGACAGTCGAGGTTACAACTTAACTATGTACTCATGTTCAACCAAGGTAAATGATTGACATTTTTGTATAATTGAATCCAACCTCTCTTTTTTTTCAAATTAACTAGGCCGTATTATTATTGTTGTTGTTGTTTATTAGGTTGGGATCTGAAAAGGGTCATGCCTTTATGGTTAGTGCTAAATGATAAGGCCAACTCAATTTTTCGTCATAGGTCACGAGATGTAAACAGCGCTAGCACTAATCCCAAACCTAACCCAAACCTTGGACCTAGCCCCAATGCTTACATAACACTAACTTACAATCTCGCCAACAATCATGTGCTCTAACCTTATTTACACCTCAACGACCTTGACAAAAATTGAACCGGCCTTAACAAATAGATTTAGCCATGTTTTTACTATATATATTATCATTGTACATGTTTATAAGGTTGGGGTCTGACGAAGGACATGTTTTAACTATAGATAACATTATTGTACATGTTTATAAGGTTGGGATAAGAAAAAGGACATGTTTTAACCATAGATATTAACATTGTAGGTGTTTATAAGGTTGGGATCTGAAGAGGGCCATGTTTTAACTATAGATATTGGTGATATTGGTAGTTATAATAGAATATGGATACAATTGACAGCTGATAATAACGAGGCTATATATGGTGGAGGAGAACAGTATTCTTACCTTAATCTCAGAGGTCGTCAATATCCTATCTGGACGGGAGAACAGGGTATATTAATAAAAGTATTCTATTGGTTGTTGATTATATTTATCAAACATTCTATTGGCTGTTGAGTATATTTATCTAGCAGTCTATTGGTTGTTGACTGTATTTATCTAGTATTCTATTGGTTGTTGACTATATTTATCTAGCATTCTATTGGTTGCTAAGCATAGTTTTCTATTGGTTGTTTAGTGTATTTATCTAGCATTCTATTGGCTATCATAGGTATCGGAAGAAACAGAAGTACATTGGTAACTTACGTCACAGATTTAAAACAATCCGGTGGAGATTATTACACGACGTATTTTCCACAACCAACTTTTTACAGCACCAACAAATATTACTTCCATCATGGCGGTTCTAATTACGCCATCTTGGATTTTTCACATCCGGATTTCCATGAGATCTTCATAGCAGATCAGCCGGGTAGACTGTATTTTAATTCGGCTGAAACCTTTCCACTCCTGGTTTCTAGTCTCACCAACTTTCTTGGGAGGATGCCAAATCTTCCGGATTGGATTCATGATGGTGCTATTATTGGTGTTCAGGGTGGATCAAAACAGGTGAATCTAGAAAGATATTTTTTAAAAACAATATTATTATTCAGGATATGGGGGAACAGACTTAGCGGATGTAAAATAAGCTGTTTCTAAATTTAACTACAATAATCCATATTTAACTACATTAATCTATATTTTACTACAATAATCTATATCTAACTACAATAATCTATTTTTAACTTCAATAATCTATTTTTAGATGATGGATTATATCAACTATTCTCAAGCTCATGGTCTGAATATTGCCGGTGTTTGGATTCAAGACTGGGCTGGTTCTGTAGATGATCTATTTGGTCATAGGTTGTTCTGGAACTGGGAGTGGAACCAACAACTTTATCCTGGTACAGATATTGGTCAATGATATGTAAATAATACATTTGTTGTTGTCAAAATTTGTTTGTTCGTGATGCACTTTAGAACATAAAGGTCTACCATCTAGTCAGGTCGCGTGGTTTCCATCCTATATTTGTACGGGCTAAGCTTAAGGCAAGCCTCGTGGGTTTATCTCCCGGTTTCCCCCCACTGCTTAGGACTCCAACGCCCAATTGTACGATATCTTAGTCCCGAAAAAATTGTCTTCAGTAGCTTAATTATTTCAGACAATTAAGACGTTCATTCTACCAATTCTCATTACACTGCGAATCTTATTTCTACCTTGTGGGGGGCCGAGGTGGCTCATTGACTAAGGCGTTGGCTCGCTAACTTGGCGGTCCAGTATTTGATTCAGGTGTTGGCGGAGAAAGTTTATCGGGATTTTTCGGCGTGATTCCTCCTCTGTCAGTGGTGTCGGATAAAGGGTCTTTCAAATGGACAACGAGTTCCCTGACAGTTGGAATTCGATATAAGAGTAGGCCGTAGTGCCGCTGTCCGGGGAAAGTTTCCCTCATAGCACACTGTATGACGTATGCCCGTCTTCATTATCCCAGTTCGGAGCAGAACAGTAGGACGTTAAACCCCATTTCATTTCATTTTGTTTCTACGTCGCATAAACCAATCTACATTATTTAAGGTCATTAAATTTATCAGTTGTTTTTTACAGGATTAGATGAGCTTATTATTGAATTAAGAGATCGTAATATACACGTGCTTGCTTACGTCAACCCGTATTTGACAGTGGATAGTAGTTTATTTAAATATGCTGAACAATTCGGTTATTTTGTCAAGAATTCGTCTAATGAGACGTATATTCAAGATTTTGCTGGTATAATGGCTGGCAGTATAGACCTAACCAATCCGGATGCTTATCACTGGTACAAAAACCGTAAGTCACATTCAAATGGTTTGTCTTAAAAATTCAGGATATCTTTCTCAGATGTTAGTAGATTTTGAATCTATGAATAGTCTAGAATAACCAGTCTTAAAATCGGGATCCGCTGATGGAATCTATGGTTAAAATTGACTGGAACATGACAAAAACATTCGCTCAACAGCTTTGCATCTTAACCCTAGTCCTAACCCTGATCCAACAGACTTATATCTTAACTATAACCTATAACCTTTTTCAAGAGGTGTTCCCACTTTCTATTTCCAGGCGTGGAACCTAATGTAAGAGGCTAGTTGCGCGGAATATACGAAAACTTGTGTCAAATTGTGGTCGAAATTCGAAACAGATTAGCCGGAAACGTAGCTATCCGATCAACACCCCCCCCCCCCCCGCCCAGTCCGTATTGCTAATTACCACTTGATCTTCAAAGGACGTCTTTACTTGACTTGACCTGATGTTGGAGTTACCGTCCGCTTCCATTGGGCTGATATATCGCCGACAAATTGTGGTCGAAATTCGAAACAGATTAGCCGGAAACGTAGTAATCCGATCAACACCCCCCCCCCCCAATCCGTATTGCTAATTACCATTTGATCTTCAAAAGACGTCTTTACTTGACTTGACCTGATGTCGGAGTTACCGTCCGCTTCCATTGGGCTGATATATCGCCAACAATTCAAAGGTCATTAAACCCCATTTTTTTATTGCAGAAATCATCAAAGAAAATATGATAGAGTTCGGTATGAGTGGCTGGATGGCTGACTTCAGTGAATATCTACCAATAGATGCCAAGCTTTATAACAAAAGACGTCTTTACTTGACTTGACCTGATGTCGGAGTTACCGTCCGCTTCCATTGGGCTGATATATCGCCAACAATTCAAAGGTCATTAAACCCCATTTTTTTATTGCAGAAATCATCAAAGAAAATATGATAGAGTTCGGTATGAGTGGCTGGATGGCTGACTTCAGTGAATATCTACCAATAGATGCCAAGCTTTATAACAACCAATCAGCGAAGTCGTATCATAATATATGGCCAGTACTGTGGGCTAAATTAAACCGGGAAGCTGTAGAGGAACTTGGAATGCTTGGAAAGGTTGTTTTCTTTTTAAGGGCCGGATTTTCTGGTAAGTAACAATTCACCGGCGAAAAAGGCGGTTCAATGCCAATGCGATGTGACCCTTTCCACGAAATAAAATAAAACCAAGTACGAACAATCCAAACCATAAGACAGAATTCGAAGTCCTAAAAAACGTTATAGGCAAAATAGTGTATTCAAGCAAAATAGTGTAATCAGCAAATGGACTGCTCCTCGTGTACAAATTACACGACAAACAGTGGTAACAGGTGTCCGGAAGAGTAAGCTTACCCTGCCTGGCGCCACACCCGCCATAGCTGCATCCAAACTATTAGACGAAATCTCGGCAAAATAACGTGATTGGCCAACGGACTATCAATGACAACCTGCACCGGTTGTGTTCCAAAAACAAACGGTATAGGCAAAATAGTGTAATCTGGCAAAATAGTGTAATCAGCAAATGGACTGCTCACCGTGTACAAAATACACGACAAACAATGGTAACAGGTGTCCGGAAGAGTAAGCTTACCCTGCCTGGCGCCACACCCGCCATAGCTGCATCCAAACTATTAGGCGAAATGTCGGTAAAATAGCGTGATTGGCCAATGAACTATCGGTATGCAAAATGCACGCGATGAACTGTGTTAACGATGTAGTAGATATTATCAGGGAGATAGTAATAGTATACGTGTCAATTAAAAATATCTAGAATAATAGCCGATAGAGACACGTTATATTTACCAATCAAATCAATATGACGGCCATAAAACTTTTTAAAGGTTTTAATAAGTTTAGTGCGCAAGTATCCTTGTAGTTGAAGCTTAGATGACAAATGCCTCGATCTACTTAAAAAATCAGAATAAAAGGAACAAGCTCTCGCGTAACGAATTAGCTGAGACACAAACACTCCATAAGCTGGTGATATTGGAATGTTACTACTAATAAATGGAAAGTTAACAATCGGAAAGTCAAAGTCATCACGTTTATCGTACAATTTAACACTCAGTTTATGGCAATTGTCAAAATCGAGACGCAGATCCAAGTAGGAAGCGTTCTCGCGCGCGGAAAAGTTACTCGATATTAAAGATACATTATGGGAGATTCGATAACGAGTTGGCAGTTCTCACTATAATAGTTAAAAACTAGATAATGTAAAGGGAATTTGCTTAAAATTTCAGTCAAATTGATCCACTATGAACCGAGAACAAAGCGATTGAATTTCCGCCAATCCTTGATCATCATTACTAAAGTCAGTACGATAAACAGCATAGTCTCGATTATCCATTTAATCGTTAAATCGTGAAGGAAAGTTATGCAGTAAATCAGCTCACAATCCACTAAAGATCGCAGGCTAGCGATGCCATCTAGAGTTGATTATAGTCTGGATAGGTTAATTAATGTCTAATTATTAATTTAGATAGAAGGCCTAAAGAAAGACCTTCAATAGACAGATTTAGCTCGTGCATAATGTATGTTTAAGCAACATTTTCGAAGCGTTTTTTCTCGCGACTACTTAGCGGATGCACGTTCTACTGTGAGCTTATGTTCGACTTCGACTAAAAGAATTAGCTGCTCTTGTTGCATCATCTTCAATTACAATGTCCTCCACTTATGACGTCATTTACGTGGGATTCTCAAAATTCTTAAGCGGTTTTCTTGGTCCATTTTTAAATTTTACATTCTTTCGATGGCCTCCACACACGAGGACAACTATGTGGATCATAATCAATTTATTTCTAAAGGTGTATTTTTTAATTTGAAGGAACTGGTAAATACAGTACGCTAATGTGGGCGGGTGATCAAGACGTTGATTTTACCTATGCCGATGGAATAGCCTCTACCATCCCAGCAGCTTTAAACATGGGTCTCAGTGGAGTGGGCATTACCCATTTCGATATAGGGGGCTACACTACCTTTGCCCCGCTACTGGTCCGAAGGGAGGAACTTCTGCTTAGATCTGCGGAGTATGCGGCGTTTGGTCCGGTATTCCGAACACATCAAGGTTTGTTACTATCCCATACAGTGAAAAAAAGAAATCCAGGATAACTTTTGAGTGTCCAGGTACATCGTCTAGTTGTTGTTCTGTTTAGACGAACAATTGTGAGGTCGTGTACACATTGGCTTGCATGTAAAAGGAACTTAGTAGCTGCAAATCGATATAAGAGCCGTAGCCCCGTTGTCCGGGCACAATTTCTAAAATGTATGTCCATCTTCATTAGCTCTGCCGACGTAGATAAGCGGGACGATAAACCCCCATTTCATTTCACAACTTTTGATAATATGGACATTGTGATAATGATCTACATAAAGATCTACTCATCATTATAAACGATCGTTTGCTTGATGATGTTGAGTTTAACAACCACTCGACACAAGTAGGTCATTTCGGGACTAACATATGGTTCAATTTTATTTCAAAAATTCGCTTGCTCGTAGGGGTCTTTAACAGTGGGAGAAACCCGGAGGACCGGAGAAATTCAACGAGGTTGGACAGGCGACTCTACTCCTCTACTACTTGTCACGTACAACCGAGGAATCGAAACCACGCCAGATGATTAAATGGCTGACCTTATGATACAACGCGCACGCGCTAACCATTTGGCCATATCCACCCCCTTTTGCTAAATGGAGCCCAAAGAAATCTTCCTATTGGCCGTTCTACTAATATCTTATAATAATGACCTACTTTCTTCTGCACTCTTTTTCAGGAAACCAACCGAAAGAAAATGTTCAATTTTATTCAACTCCAGAAATATCGGATAAATTCGCCAGACTAACGCACATTTTTAAAACGCTGAAAAACTATACTAAGATCGTGTTAAATGACACGGTGACGTCAGGCGTCCCCGCCTACAAACCACTATTCTTTAATTATCCCGATGACGTCAGATGCTACAACGTGACGTATCAGTTCCTATATGGGAATGATTTATTAATAGCCCCGGTTATATTAGATTTTAGAAAACACTGGGACGTATACCTACCCGCGGATCCTACATCAAGCTGGGTTCACATATGGACTGGACAGAGTTACCAGGGGTCTCGAGATGTAACTGTGGACGCACCCGTTGGAAACCCCCCAGTATTCTACAGATCGACGTCACAGTTTGTTGACATTTTTAAAACCATAGGAAATTTGTGAAATTAGGTAATCCGAATTTAATGTCATGGAAGAATTTTATTTTAAAAAATGGCCTACAAGGTTGACCTTTCGCCAAATACATAGGGTTAACTGAACTCTTTCAAACAGATCCTTGCATTCATGAGCTCTATATTATTGTTTGTAACATGGATGGGAAATTCTTCCTTTGTTCTTTTCGTTGAATAAGCAGATTGTTTTCCCTCTAGTAGATTGGGTGGAGCTTAACCGTGCAATAACTAGACATGTTCAATGTTATTGCACACTTTTGCTGGTTTACGCTAGTTTTAGTAGAAATCATATAGAGAAATGGGGTGGGTTTTCTGTGCAATAACAACAAGCATGTTGAGCAGTTGTCAATGTTACAAGTGATTTATAGCACGCTTCATTCGTTAACAGGTTTAACCCCTCGGCTTTCGGCCTCTGGTTAAACCTGTTAACTCATTAGAGCCGTGCTATAAATATAATTTAAATGCTGGGCATCGGGTTTTGTGTGTTAACCAATGAAAGCCTGCAAAACAAATGACCACGGGAAATGCCGAGTACAAAGATACAGTGGAAAGCCTACTCTAAAACGTCAGTCGTCACACCCACTCCTACGTCACTCTTTCCCTGGTTGAAGGGCTAAATCTATTTGTTAAGGCCAGCTCAATTTTTGTCATGGTCGCTGAGATATGAATAAGGTTAGGGCACGTGATTGTTGGCGAGATTGTAGGTTAGGGTTAGGGTAAGCATTGGGTTTAAGAATTGGGTGGGTGGGTGGGGGGTTTGGCCTTATCATTTAGCACTCTATTCCTGGTTGTAGGGCCGCTATGTCTTGTGGGAATAACTTATCGACCTTTATGCCTCATGCGAGGATATCAAGAAAAATGCATTGTCATGTTGTGCGAAGTTTTACTCGGCGCAAGGGAGGTAACTTCACCATCCCTGCGATACAAATCATCTAACAGGAAAAGTATCAAATAACACATCAATGAAATGGTGATTAACGCACCAAATATCTACACTTACTGAGCTAATGCAGACAGACAAACACCCATGCAGTTTTCTATGAGTTCCTATAAGGCATATGTTGTTGTGACAGGGGCGTATCCGCGTACTCTACACCGAATTCCAACTGTGAAAGATTCTTTTTCGTGTAGCCTATTATGCTGTACATAATATAATGTTTTTATTAGAATCTGAGCGATTGAGAGAGAGAGAGAGAAAAAGATATAGAGAGGGGGTGGTGGGGTAGGGGCGAGAGAGAGAGAGAGAGAGGAGGGGAGAGAGAGAGGGGGTCAATGCAACACAAGCTAGGTCATTTTGGAGCCAAAATTTCGCTTGCGCGTAAGGGTCTTGAGGAAACAGAGGGTCCAAGAGAAAACCTACGAGGATGAACAGGCGACCCTACTCCTTGTCACGTACAAGCAGGGAATCGAAGCCATTCCACTTGACTCATTGACAGACCTTATGCACTAAAGCGCACGCGTTAAATCATTCGGCCATCCAACCCATGTCATTTGAGGGAGTTTAACTCCTTTGCAAGTAAGTGTTAAAATTGAATCCCTACAGAGTATGTCAGTTCAAAGTTACAATTTCATATTTTTAAGTTATATTTTTAAAATTTATTAAAATAAAGCCCTAAAATAGATGGTATCTACAAAGAGTCCTACCTTGTTAAAGAATAATCCTATTAATCCTATAATTCACTATTGCCAGTTGATAAAATGGCAAAAATATCATTTTTAACTTCAAATTCAAACGTTTGAAGATAGCTATTTCATGGTGGGAAATAGGAAAACAAGGGAGGTAATTGGGTGGTAATTGTGTTATTATTTCCGGTGTTATGATTTTTAAGTGTGGGAATGACACCCGTGATCGTATAATAGTAAGTTGACAACCTATTGAGCAAAAGACATAGAAATAATTATGTTTTGACCCTCTTAGAAAATATGAAATTGTAACTTTCAGTACTTACAAAGATGTGATTAATTGAAAATTTCACAACATTCGGTATCCTCTAATATAAATAATCCGGCGCCACATATAAATGCTGGGAAAGATCTTGTGATAGGAATCCCTGCCGGTAGATCATCTAGTGTCGATATTTTGATAATTAAATATTTAAAAATGAAACTGAGTAAATAAATAGTAGCGCGAATTAAGCCATGAAAAAAAAAATACTGTCTTAAATATGAAGATCTGTGGTTTTAACTTTGAAACGTAGCTACATCTATAGAACCGATATTTGCTCGACTCTTTACACGCTTTTAATATGGTTGTAAATTACATTTGGTTATGTTATTGATTACACCGAGTGTCAATTGTTACAGTTCAATATAAACAGATCAATCAAATTAATCAATCCACAATGTGAATAATTAATATCGATCGTTGATTTCTGTACAACGTCAATAACAAATCGATCAATCCGTACGATAACACTGACTCACGTTATAACAAAATTACTACAAATAGTTACAATCACAGACAATACTTTTACTACAAAAAGTTACTTTTAGGGACAATGCTTTATAATGATAAAATAAATTACTACAAACAGTTACATTAAAGATAGCGGGAGCCACGATGGCTAAGTGGGGAAGACGCTGGATCGCTAGTCTGGAGGTCGCGTGTTCGATCCCTGCATTGGCCGAGAAAGTTCATCGGAATTTTCCGGCGTGGTTTCCCCTTGTCAGTGATGCAGGGTGGAGGAACTGACAAGGACAGCAGTATAGTCATTCGGATAAGACGAAAAACCGAGGTCCCGTGTACACATTGTCATGCACGTAAAATATCCCTTGGTAGTTGGAATTCGATATAAGAGTAGACCATAGTGCCGCTGCCCGGGCAAAATTTCCCTCATAGCACACTGTATGGCGCATGCCCGTCTTCATTAGCCCAGTCGGAGCAGAACAGTAGGATGTTAAACCCCATTTCATTACACAATAAAGATACATTAGTTCAGATTTTAATTAAGAGGTTGCCATTCTTGATATAACAGTTCAAATATTGATGATAAACAAAGAAAATATTGAAAATTTCAGTCACGGAGTTGCCACTGTTGGAAGTTTGGACTAGAAATAGGCATCAACCGTCTCCGCGCCGTCTCCAAGAATTGCTGGTCGTTTGATTGCCAGACGATAACTCCGCTCACATATTCTCGATTCTCAATGCCGACGATACCCTCGAATGTCAGTTCTTTCATCGGCAATCTCCGGTAGTGACGCCAGTAATTAACGGTAAATGTTAGCTTGGTCAGCCAATTATTAAATGGACGACTGTTTAAATCCAAGCTGTACCCAAGCCATCCGAGGGTCCATATAGTTGATTTTGGGTTTGTTATGTAAATGAAGACCTAATTAATAATTTCTATAACATTGAAAGCCTATAGAAAGACATACAATTGTCATATTTAGCTCTTAACTAATGTATCTTTACGAGAAAATACTTAATAACGTTATAACAAATTACCACAAATGGTTACATTTAGAGACAATACTTAACGATATAACAAATTACTACAACAGCAACTGTTATAAACATCACGAGGGTTGGGGTCGCATACCGAACCTCGTGTATTCTAATCAGCCCCCGTCCACCCCACCACCCCCCCCCCCCCAACCTCGTTCGCCAGCTGATAGAAATCATTCTGCGCTGGCAAATTTTGAAATATGTTAACCCCGATATTACTGAGTGGACTTTAACCCCATTTCTCTCTCACTCACGTAATACGTAGTTAATGAGCGACAATTGAAATTTGAATGAACCCGGATTTCAATTCAGTGGTCTATTAATACATATAATAATAGTGACTAGGATCAATAGATATATTATTATTGGTATGGTATTTTATACATTAATCTATTTTTAATAATGGATTAATTGATTATGGTTGATATAGTTTATTGCTATAATATACATGTTTATACTGCACAGTATGATAGTGACTAGGATCAATAGATATATTATTATTGGTATGCTTGTAATGTATAGGGTATATTATACATTAATCTATGTTTAATAATGGATTAATTGATTATGGTTGATATAGTTTATTTCTATGATATACATGTTTATAATGCACAGTATGGTTTACACGAGTCCCTTCATATCTATTATATACCTATATATATATATATATATATATATGTGAAACCTTTTATACACCTGTAGGTAATATACCTGTATTATTTGTTCAATAACACCCCATATCTCTTACACACGAACGACTAATGTCTATATATATATATATTAAACCTTTTATACACCTGTAGGTAATATACCTGTATTATTTGTTCAATAACACCCCATATCTCTTACACACGAACGACTAATGTCTATATATGCTCTTAGGTAATAAATACACAAAAATATAAAAGTTTTTGAAAAAATAACTATACATTATTTGTCGATTACTAGCACTTTCGCATAAACTTTCGGGTAAACAACAATTAGATAATACAACAATGTATATAAGTGTGTGTGTGTGTGTGTGGAGTCTAGTGATTTAACGCGTGTGCGTGATATAATAAGGTCCTAAAGACCCCTGTGCGCAAGCGAATTATTGAAATAATATTGAACCATATGTTAATCCCGAAATGACCTACTTTGTGTCGAGTGGACATTATAAAACCCCGTCATTCATTAAAGATACATTATGTAAGATTTAGATAAAGAATAGTTTAAAAATAGACAATGCAAAATGAATATATTGAAAATTTCATTCAAATTACATTATTTTGAACGACGATATCAATGTTTGTAGTTTTGACAAGATGTGTGCATTGATTGTTTAATATCGTAACCACGGTGCTGGTTATTGAAGACTTAGCCTCGCTTCTCCACTTTTAAATTAAATCATTAAATGGCGGAACTGTTCTAATCTACTTAAAAACGAGGTTATCCGATGGCATCGAGAGTAGATTATGACCTTGTTAATAAATGTCTAATTAAACATGCATTATGCAAAGAGCTAAATCTTTCTATTGCAGGTCTTTCTTTAGGCCTGAAATGTTATCTAAATTATTAATTAGACATTAATTAATTTATCCAGACCATAATTAATGCTCGATGTGATATTTAGAGGATTTGAATACATTTTGTGATGGATAATTTAACATAAAAATGGATAATCGAGACTTTGTTTATTATCGCAGCAACGTTAGTAATGACGACCGAGGCTAGCCTAAAATTGAATGGGTAGTATCTCGGTTCAGAGTGAAGCAATTTGACTGAAATGTTAGCGAGAACTGTCAGCTCTTTATCTAATCTTACCTAACGCCCTTGAACAATTTATATAACATGTACGGCCTTAAGAAAAACCTGCAGATTTAGCTCATGAATAATGTTTCTTTATGAATTATAAGAGACGATATATAGGCCTACATTATATAAAACAGATATATCGTATTATTATATAGGCCAGAATTGTTGCCATATTTTACCTTATGGAAATATGTTACAATAATATAAATAATATAGAGGGTTCAGGGTGGATTTATAATATATAATATGTAAGCCAACAGCTTAAAGACGTGTTGAGGGCATGGTGTTGATTAAAAGTTCACTCACCGATCAAATTCGTACAATAACCGATTCCTCGCGGCTAAAATGTACTCAAATGAAATGAAATGGGGTTTAACGTCCTACGGTTCTGCTCCTATAATGGGCTAATGAAGACGGGCATGCGCCATACAGTGTGCTATAAGGGAATTCCAATTGCCAAGGGATCTTTTACGTACACGCCAATGTATACACAGGACTTCTGTTTTTCGTCCCATCCGAACGACTAGACAGTTGTCCTTGTCAGGCCCTCTGTCCTGCACCACTGACAAGGGGGGAACCACGTCTGAAAATTCCTATGAACTTTCTCGGCCAATGCAGGGGATCGAACACCCGATCTCCAGGCTAGCGAGCCAGCGTCTTACCCACTTAGCCACCGTGGCTTCCTAATATGTACTCAGATTGATTATTTAAATTTCATGTAAGAAAACAAAACCAAAGTAGCAACGTTATGTGATTCCCACGGCCTGGGCGCCTATCTCCGTGGGTTTTCTACGGGTCCCCCGATTTCCACCCACTGATAAAGACCAGGGCCCGCGAGTGTATTGTTGTAAAACATTGTACCATTAATCTTGGATTACAAATATAGAATTCGACGCATTTTCCAGCTATTGTTGACGTGTTTTTAATACACCGAGGTCGAATAATTTACATTTCTCGTTTGCATTCGAACTCATCAAAGGCTCGTGGTAGGCGTGATTTACCCTTGTCAGTGGTGCAGGGCGAGGCCTTGACAGGGACAATTGTCTTGTCGTTCAGATGAGATGAAAAACTGACGTCCCGTGTACATATTGGCGTAAAAGATCCCTTGGCAGATGGAATTTGATATAAGAGAAGGTCGTAGTGCCGCTGTCTGGGCAATATTTCCCACATAGCACACTGTATTGCGTATGCCCGTCTTCTTTAACCAAGTGGGGGTAGAACAGTAGGACGTTAAACCCCATTTTATTTAAAAACCTTGCCTCGTCTCATCTATCTATGTGTTTACTTACTGTAAGATATATAAACCCTATCTACGATATACAACAAATATTGATTATTGAACTTAAACACTTAAAGAGACAATTGGTTGATTTAACATTTCTTAGACTGGTATTGAATTTATCATACATCTTATCGAATTTATCATACATCTTATCGAATTTATCATACATCCTATCGAATCTATCATACATCTTATCGAATATATCATATACCCCATCCAATATATCGTACACCCTATCGAATTTATCATATATCCTACCGAATCTATCATACATCTTATCGAATTTATCATACATTCTATCGAATCTATCATATATCCTATCGAATCTATCATACACCCTATCGAATCTATCATATATCCTATCGAATCTATCATACATCTTATCGAAAATATCATATACCCCATCGAATTTATCATATATCCTATCGAATCTATCATACGTTCTATCGAATTTATCATACATTCTGTCGAATTTATCATATATCCTATCGAATCTATCATACATTCTATCGAATTTATCATATATCCTATCGAATCTATCATACATCTTATCGAAAATATCATATACCCCATCGAATTTATCATATATCCTATCGAATCTATCATACGTTCTATCGAATTTATCACACATTCTGTCGAATTTATCATATATCCTATCGAATCTATCATACATTCTATCGAATTTATCATACATTCTATCGAATTTATCATACATTCTGTCGAATTTATCATATATCCTATCGAATCTATCATACATTCTATCGAATTTATCATACATTCTGTCGAATTTATCATATATCCTATCGAATCTATCATACATTCTATCGAATTTATCATACATTCTGTCGAATTTATCATACCATTTCGTGTGTGAAATGAAATGCAATGATGTGGGGTGTAATGTCCTACTTTTTCTGAACCGACTGGGCTAATTGAAGACGGTTTATCACAAGGGAGGCTTATTATGTTTCTATAGGAAGTGGATATAAATAAAGACTGACATGGAAATATTACGTTTTGTAATCCATGTGTCGAAGACAGACAGCTATTATTCTATTTACGTGGTTTAGTCAGATATAATAACAGCACGGTCTGAAACATCTGGTTATTATGGTAACTAATTAACTTCTCGATATAGCCACGAGGTGTGTCTCTTGAACTGATCCATTAACTGACTATATGCACACAAACAATGTAGGCCACATCCCCCGGAAATCGTCTAGATCCTGTAGTAAAGACAAGTAAACGAAATTTTGAACTATAAAAAACGAAACGAAATAGGATCTGTGTTTTAACCAGATTGGCCTTTAACTTAAACGGTTTATAAGATATGCAACGGAAACAAAACCGAGACGGAATTACGCCATTTGATTTCATATTGAGGGACTGTCCCTTTAAGCTGTACCTGCTATAATTGTGTAGTATATTTATAATTAAGTCTACACACCTATACAATGACCAACTAGAGATTAGATCTAATTCAATGCCACGTCTTACATTATTAACGACCCCCTTAGAGTTATAAACCCGGTGTCGAATGACACCGCCCATAGCAACGTCGTATGTTAAGTATGTTTGGCTTTCTGATGTTTATAAAATGTGATGTTACAGTTATGACATATGAAATCGTGTAATAAAAATATTCGTATAAACTGTGTATGCTGTGTTTGTATGGATGCAATGATACAATAAAATCTTATCTTATCTTATACTAAATAGCCCCACCCCACCCTCGCCTACCTCCCCATTCGACGTACCTATTGGGTTAGATCTATTTGATTAGGCTAACTTCAAGTTTGATCAAAGGTCACGAGATGTAAACAGGACTAGTTCTAATCCCAACCCTAACCATAACCCTATCTTATTCCCCCCACCCCACCCTCGTCATTCAACGCACCTGTTGGGTTAGATCTATTTGATAAGGCTAACTTCAAGTTTGATCAAAGGTCACGAGATGTAAACAGGGCTAGCGCTAATCCGAACCCTAACCCTAACCCTGGACCTAGCCCTAAAGCTTGCCCTAACCTACATTCTCGTGCCCTAACCTTATTTACATCACAGCGACCTTGACAAAAATTGAGTTGGCCTTACAAAATAGGTCTAGCTGTACCTATTGATTATAGGATATTGACTGAATAATTGACATGGCTGCTGTCAAAATATCGAGGCGGATGTTTGTCATAAATCCTTGGAATGATCATGGGCAGACCATAATCATCCTAAACTGGGCTAATGAAGACGGGCATACGCCATACAGTGTGCTATGAGGGAAATTTTGCCTGGCCAGCGGCACTATCGCCTACTCTTATATCGAATTCCAACTAACAACTCAGAAGACTGTGGTTGAACTGTAATAAGCCGCGGTGGCTCAGTGATTAAGACGTTGGTTCTCTAACCTGGAGGTTCCGTGTTCGATCATGGTGTTGGCCGAAAAAGTTCATCGGGGTTTTCAAGCATGGCTCCCCCTTGGCAGTGGTGCAGGACAGAGATCCTGGCAAGGAACAAGGTATAGTCGTTCAGAGTGGACGAAAAGCCGATGTCCCGTGCACATAAAAGATCCCTTGGCAGTTGGAATTCGTTATAAGATAGGCCGTAGCAGAATGCTAGGACGTTAAACCTCATTTCATTTCGTTTTTCGTTTAAATGTGATAAAAGTTCATATTAATGTTTAATTGTATATTCACGATGATACCATAGGCACCTGAAGGGATTAAAATAAAACTTCTAACTACTATAATATTAATATATAGCCATGCAGTAGTAAGAAGTTTTAATTTAATCCCTTCAAGTGCCTGTGGATGATACATATTCCCAATCGCGTATTTCACCGGGATTTTTTGAGAACCCCCCCCCCCCCAAAAAAAAAACAACAAAAAACCTCAGCACACCCTCATCCCTAGCTCCTCTACTGGAATACCACAGCACATCCCGACTACTATTCAGATTTCAATTTAGACAAATTATATAAAAATCGAAGGCTAATGGGATAAACTAATCAAATCATTGATTACATCAGCCGTAATCAAGTTATCGACTGTATAATGACGGCAGTTGTGATGATAAACCATCATTGTTATTGGATACCATGTCAATAAAAATGTTTTGGATTAATACTTATTTGATTGTATTACGTCACAGTTATAACGTCAGAAACCGTGTAATAAACACATATTATGATGTAATAACTATATCCGTTTGTATATACCGTTATATTCACCGTTATATGACACCGTAATCCCCATGATAAACAAATAAATTCCTATAAATTAATTTGCAAACTGACAAATTGTCCTTTTTTTGACCTGTAAGTGAAATTTGCTCTGTGTTCATATTTTAGAATATTGAATTATTGAATTCAATTTAGGTTAGATGTTTCCGAATTGGAAATATAATAAGTAAAACATCCAACCAAATTCCATCAATGTTTTATAATGACTGGCTTCTTTAATGCTGATAAATACAAATTTATGTACATATATTTGATAAAAAATAAATAATATACCTTTACACACACACAAAAAGCGTGAAAAACTTTAATTATAATTGTATCAAAAAGTTCTTTTGTCTTCCTGCCTAACGATTTATATATTTCACAGTTCGATTCGGGTCCATTTTCTCTTTCAACAAAGTTCATATTACGAGAACACCCTTAGTCCGAAATCTCCAAACAGAATGAAAATAAAAAGTATTTCTTGTATCACAGGATAGCGCGGCAGAAAATATTATTTCGAAAATTCGAAATTGTTCGTTAAGCCGGGCCTTAAAAAATTACTATTTGAACACTTCGCACATTTTGATTTCAGTTCTTTTCCTAATTAAAAATGTTAGGAATTGTCACAAATTAAAACTCATCTTTAAAAAAAATCATTGAATTAGCTCAAAGATTAGCCAGATATGGCTGAAGGATAACCGACTCCATTTCTAGTGTAGAATGTATCGGCAACAATACGCGTTCTGCCATGCGCTGGTTTCTTAATATCCTCCTTTTTCACCACATCACTGAGCCTCCAGCCATAATCCCAGGAACTAAGTAATGGGTATGTAAATTTAACCTCCGGTATTTTGCTATATCTGTCCTGGAGGTATTGATATCGGCCTTTTCCTTCTTTAGTAAAACCATCGTACAATTTACTTTGAGTTTTCGGAGTCACTGCTCGCATATTTTCCACCGTTAGGAATTCACTTCTTTGCCCTAGCGTATCAATTTGCGTCGACTTCTTTTTGTTGAATTTCTGTTCGGCTGTAATTGCCGGTAATCGTTCCATCAATGCTTCGGAGGGTTTTGATCTTTCTTCAATTTTTCTTCTGAAAACCTCCATTTGTTTCGGCTTTGACACATCAGATGGACTTCTGTTAAAAAACCATGCTAAACGAGAATCGCGCTCTTTGTTGAAGGACTCCGTTAAAAAGTTTTGATATTGAGTTGAGAAATTGGGATTTCTAGCTGCCATTCTGTAGTTTTACTCTTACTTTCCGCTAAACTCAAACCTCTTTCACCGCCAGTGTTCAATAGCCCCGCAGTTTTAATAATTACCACAGTCATAGGTAACAGCGCGTGGCCGCATATCAACGTCGCCACTAGCAACATGACGTAACAGATACGACGAGAACTTCAAGGTCTACCGAGATTTTGCGAGAATTATAAATCCAAGATGGCTCCGAATTGGCCAGAGGAAGTGGATGTGTTTTCTGTACCACATTTTAGAATGAAAGAATTGGTACAGGGCTATTTGGACCAGGTTTGTGTGCTTCCATAATAGCTTCTGGTTAAACTGAAACCATTGTCACCCGGCTCAATGACCCTTTCGTGGAGAAATCGATATTACAGTTTTCGGAACGGTTGACATTTTTTAATCATTTGCGATTTGGCGTCTATCCAAGTTCGTTTTTAGTATCACGAACACAGTGATTGTGATGTCTGTCATGTAGGCTTTGACATTCCCAGGCTTGATAACATCTTACTGATGACCTCTCAAAACATGCCAATGTCAAAGCAGTGACATGGGTTATTTCTAAACTACTTTTGTTGTGTTCAGAGTTCACTTCCGACGCCTTGGCTTCTTGAGTCAGACGGAGGTCTAGTCAGAGTGTCACGCAATGTCACAGTTAAGATGATGTAAGCCAATGGGGGTGCCCCAGTCCCAGGGCAAAAGTTTCAGTGACCCCCACCCGACACCCTTGCATACTGTAACTGCTTTGTTCAGTGCCTGCACTCGGTTGACTTAAATGAAATTTTAAAATACAATTTTTTATACTTTTAACAAGTTTAGGGGAAGCAAAGGTCGGTGAATTGCTATCTCAGCCTCCTCGGCGGCTAGTCTATGCACTCAGATGATTTCCACCCCCACCCCCTCCCCCCTCGACAAGCAAAGACCTATCATAAATTTTTAAACTCTAAATATCAACAGTTATTCCAGTCTTACACCTGTAGTACCGCAGCCTATTCTTCTGTGGGTTATATTTATCCTCGTTCATCAAGTTGCTTCATTGCAAATGGCACTTGAAAACATTCCAGTCTGGCGATTCGTTTGCCAATTTTAAAATGTTCATTTTGTCTTAGATATTGGATATCAGACGCCCATGTTTTCACGGTAAAATCACACCATCAATGTTGATTTAAATTGAGTCGTTTTTGCAATGTTGACGACTGTGAATGATACTGAGTTAGAGACTTGCCTCCTTTAACAAGACTGTATAAAGTAAAATGGTTTAATCCAGGATGCGTTTCGGGCTACCAGTTGATAAAGGATTGTAGCTCGAATAAACCACTTTACTTATATAGTGTCTTGTCAAGTTTGTTGTAGGGCTGTACGATATTCTCGATATAGTCATTTATCGTGATATGGTATTTTCAGACACAACTACGATATCATGTGGCCAAAAATCGTCGATATAGTGGTTTATCGAATATCACCAAAAACTTTAAATATCAAAAAAAATTATCATAAAAATAGGTAATACACTATACAGCAGTGGAAATTAGCAGATGGCAATAAACTATAATAAAACTAATGTTTTGAGAATCGTTAAATGTTAAAAACACTTGCGCAGTATCCGCAGCCGTTTTTCACTGCATCGTGTATGCGTTGCTTTTACTTTGTTTTTAGTCGACAATAAATTGTCAGTTGTTACTACATGTAAAGCTTAGGCCTACTAAAGGCCTGAAATTTCCCACTACCGCGGCTAATAACCAGGCTATAAATAGGTTGTCATATTTTTAAAAAAACGAACATTTTTAGAAAACTCAACGAAACTCAATTTCTGAAAGCAAGAATAAAACGATCTTTAAATAGATTACTGTCACTGTTAGGCCAGGAATACCGCAGCTAATCGAATGCTTGAATGGAAGATAGTCCGAATCATTTAGTATTTGTTAAACTGTTTGAACTTACAATAAAAGACTTGAAGACCGCATCTACTTACTACTGCTGCATGTGATATTTGAGAATTTTCTTACTCAAGGTAATAAGCAGACGCTTTTTAAACATCAGCGGTTGTAATTTAATTATATGTACAGGCATTAAGTAATGTCTCCTGTTATTGTGTTAAAAAGCATTGAAACGTTTTTATCCAAAAAGGATGTTTTGTTCATTTTAATAAATCTATATTATAAAAAAAGCAAAGTTTAATGTGTATGAAGAAAGCAATTCTTACCCACAATTTTTACTCACACTGTTGTCAGCTTTAATGCATTTATATTTAATTTATTTAATAGCAAAGTGACATTATTATTAAATATCGCGATATTTAACTAGATCGTTGAAAAACATGCCAATATCGATATCGTCCCTTTTTGCAATATCGTACAGCCGTAGTTTGTTGTTTGTTGATTAATTTATTTGGATTATTATCCCCGGCTGTGTCACTGAGATCCAGGGATTCTTCTACCCGTCTACTACTTCCAGTGACCAGTAGATTCATCCCTACCATGGAACTTTGTTAAATCTGTTGCTTATTATTTTCAGATGACAGCAACAAACTTTTCTAATGTCATCCATCTTACAACACTGCTGAAGAATCTATGTGATACATTCCGAGAATTTAAAGTTCATGAACAAATTGAAAATAAGTATATATTGTGTAAGCTGCGGCAGAAATTACGATCTTTGTCGATACGGAACAGTGCCGTCTGTAACTGTCATTCAGATAACCGTCTGACGGAGATGATAGAACTGGTGAAAGATGGTTTTGATTGGACATGGCGTCCACAAGCCGACAGAATGCATTATGGGTTTAAGTTACGTCGAGCGTTAGAAGATTTTACTCAGACATTTATCCCTCACATGGAAGAAGAAGAAGCTGTAAGTATATATTTTATTATTGTACAAATTACATGAAAACCTTGGATTGTCCGTAGGGTCCTGCATTTAAATCCCTTCATGGTTCGAGAAGTATCAAACTTTTTTCACTTGTTAGAACTACCACCCAAGTGACTGACCAGGAAGTTGTGTTTAGTGTTTACCAAAATTCTTGAACCGGTTAACTGGTCGTTAAAAACCCAACCGTAACCGGTTAACCCATAAAAATTTTCTATCAAAATATTTGTTGCGCCAAAATAAGACTTGATGATGTATTTTTAAATTATTAGTATTACAGCTTTTAAGGTAAACAGTCAGTACAAATTCCATTCATTCATTCATTCATTCATTCATTCTTGATGTTTCATTTCCCAACTTGCACTTGAAAGAACACTTAAAATTTGCAATTTAATCAAGTCTAGGTGGACATGTTACTGTCTGGACAAAATTTTCCTTGACATAAACAACACTAGAATTCAAAATCCATATAATAATAATATGAACTAAATTACAAATCAGTGTAGTAATCTAGAATGTGTTAAGTCAATCTTCAAAAAGCCAAGTAGTACCAGTAGTACAGTAAGTTGAGCTCTGTATTATGTAGAGGAGCCGTTTTAATATCAGAACAAAATGGTCTGAGATGAAGAGTAGCACTTTATCTACATAAACATTGATGCATTGTCACATTTAAACTTTAAACCCCACTGTTTTTAGGAAATGAAAAGGGGGTTAAGCGTCCTACTGTTCTGCTCCGACTGGGCTAATGAAGACGGGCATACATGTATGCCAAACAGTGTGCTATGAGGGAAATTTTGCCCAGACAGCGGCACTATGACATACTCTTATATCGAATTCCATCTGCCAAGTGATCTTTTACGCCAATGTGTACACGGGACCTCAGTTTTTCATCTCATCCGAGGGACAAGACAATTGTCCCTGTCAGGGCCTCAGCTTTTCATTCCTTCTGAACGACTCTAAGTTGTCCCATGCCAGGCTCTCTGTCCTGCAGCATGACGAGGGGGCGCCACGCTGGAAATCACGGTGAACTTTTTTGGTCAATTTGGGGATTGAACCAACCTGGGACATCCATGGTTACCACGCCAACGTCTTACTCACTGAGCCACTGTGGCTCCCCACTGCTTTTAGGACAAAATGAAATGTAGTGATAATCTTAAAAAGGAGCTAAATCGCTAATATTTTGGATCTAGAAATTGACACAAATGGGTCGCACCGTATATAATAATGTAATGGGAATGTATATAAACTGATTTACATTCAATAGTTTCTGTTTTTACTCCAATTTCTAATCACTTTAATCAGTTATGTTCGGCGAAATACGCCAGAAGTCTCAATCAAATGCCAATCTATAGCGTCTGGTTATTCCACTCTATACCGATAGTATTTATTGCGCATGCTCTCCAGATAAAAATATGACGTCACCTTTTGGTATGACTTGTGGAATATATACTATTCAAAAAAAGTAGGGGATATTTGATTTTGGGGGCATAATACTAAAATATGCAAATGACTACGAAAAAAGTCACTATAGAACCTAACAGAAGAAACATTTCCAGTTACATGTGACGCCCAAACGCACCAATAGCTACCGCATGGAATGCAGGTGATGCTTGGGATCATCATGGGGGTCCAACCCAAGATTTGCACGACTCTGACTTTGAATGTTACAGTCATTGTGGCATTGAATTCCAGGGTGGAAACATCAGTTTAATTGTTTTAGTGACCAGAAAACAAATTTTGATATGCGTCGGCTTACCCAAAATGAAATGTTATGTGCCCTTGGCATGCTACAGATCGGCACAACACAGGCGGTTGTGGCGCGGACGATGAATGTTTCTCAGTCTGTCATAAGCAGGCTATGGTCCAGATACCGTGATACACAATCTGTACAGGACAGACCACGCTCAGGTCGACCAAGGGCGACAACTCAAGCCCAGGATCGATTTATCCGTACCTTGGCCTTGAGAAATCGTGTCATCACAGCAAATCAGATCAGCGCTCGTCTTCAAACAGACACTGGTGTGAGAGTGAGTGGCCAGACGATTCGGAATCGACTGCATAGGGGTCACCTTCGCGCCCGACGTCCTCGCGTGATCCCTTGTTTGAGAGATCATCACATTCAGGCAAGACGTCGTTGGTGTAGGGATCGTCAACACTGGGATAATCGACGCTGGAGCAATGTGATGTTTTCAGATGAGTCAAGGTTCACTGTTGATTTTTTGGACAGACGTAGGAGGGTGTGGCGTCGTCGAAACGAGTGCTTCCAAGACGTTAACGTCATCAGACATGATCGATTTGGGGGTGGTTCTGTTATGGTGTGGGGAGGCATCACTGTTGCTGGAAGAACGGCTTTACATGTTGTTGCAGGGCGTGTTACAGGCCAGTACTACCGGGACAACATCTTGGCAGTCCATGTTGTGCCGTTCGCACGATGTCATGGCCGCCGTTTCATCTTCCAGGATGACAACGCAAGATGTCACAGGGCCAGGATCGTTACAGGTTACCTCCAACAACAGAACATCACCACATTACCTTGGCCAGCACTGAGTCCCGACCTCTCCCCCATCGAGCATGTCTGGGACATGCTTGGACAGAGGTTACGTCAACGTCAACAACGTCCTGCCAATGTCCAAGAACTTGCTGCTGCGTTGCAACAGGAATGGGACAATCTGGACCAAAATGACCTTAGACGTCTCATTAGGAGTATGCCACGTCGGATCAATGCTTGTTTGGCAAACAGAGGAGGATTTACCCGTTACTGACTTGGTTGTGATGCTGTGGTAACTTTGCTGTTTGACCCCGGGTATCATTTTACCCTTATAATGGTCAGTCTGTGCCTTACTTAGTCTAACGATCATTTGGAATAAATCGATGAATGTGAATTTCATTTCATTTTGTCATTTGTTTCTTCGTCAGTTTCATTAGGTGACTTTAATAACACTTAAAAATCAAATATCCCCTACTTTTTTTGAATAGTATATCTGGCCTCTTTCTACAAGTCCCTTGTTAAAAATGGCACTGAAATACACCATGGTACACGAATCGTGTACCAACGGTAAAATGTTTATATTGTCTTAATTATTGGATATCAGAAGCCCAACTTTTCCCCGTAAGATCACAAGACCAATGTTGATTTGAATTGACAAATAATTCGCGTTTTCAATGTCGAAGATTTTTGATGATTTTGAGTTAGAGACTTAGCCACTTTAAATGATACTTATTTTATTTTTTTCATCACTAGGTTTTTCAGCCGATGCTGATCGAATATTTTTCCTACGATGAACTGAAAGCCATCAAGGCCGAAGTTATTCATCAACATTTAACAAATGGTTCAGAGAATTATCAGGAAGAAAAATTTGTTGAAGATACAAAATCTAGTAAGTTACAAAAATACTGAATAATTTCTTATGAAATACCGAATAAATTCTTACGAAATACTGAATAATTTCCTACAAAATACAGAATAATTTATTACAAAATACAGAATAAGTTCCCGCAAAGTACAGTACAGAACATAATTTAGGATAAAACAAATATTATTAAATGTACCATTTGCTGTTTATTATATTCTAGCAAAAATTGAAACAGGGTTGTATATTGACGTCACCCCTGATTGGCAATTCTTTGTTCATGAGACATGGGGGGAGGAGGGGTCTGGGCGAATGGTTTAACTGCGTATTAGGTCATAAGGTCTGTCATTGAGTCAAGTGGCGTGGTTTTGACTTCCCGGTTGTACATGACAAAGAGTGGGGTCGTCTGTCAAACCGCGTGGGTTTTCTCTGGGTCCTCCGCTAAAAGACCCTTTGCCCTAGTAAATTATTGAAATAAAATTGAACCATGTGTTAGTCCCAAAATGTCTATGTTTTTTTAATCAGGAGAAGTAAGTGATGAAGAAGAAGATGTTAGAAGTAGTTTGGACAGACTACCAGATGAAGTTTTATTGTTGATGTTTAAGTTTTTATCACCAGTTGATTTATGTCGATGTAGTCAGGTATCACGAAGGTTCAACCATCTAGCTCTAGATGCATCACTGTGGACTCAACTTTATCCTGTACAGTGGGTTAAAGGTACTAGCTGGGTTATTATTACTTTTCACTCTGGGGGTTGTGTGGGTTAACCAGACACGTGTCCAGAGGGCTGAATCAAGGGGTCCGCGCTTCATCCCGCTTTCGCAGAGAATATTTTTTTCTTCGCAACATTCATGGAAATAATGTCATTTTTGCTCGCTCCACTGTAAATCCTCTTCGTGTATACACCTAATTGAGCACATATATTTCTTATCTCAAAGTTTCTGAATTTTATCAAATTCGCACATATTTCCCCCAGACCTAATGCCAAGCTAGGACCCCCTGCTGCGTATATATCTTATATTATAGGTATTTGGTCTGTATATGATATATTATAGGTATATGACCGTGTATAATATGATATATAAGTAGGGTATATGGGCCGTATATGATGTATTATAGGTATATGACCGTGTATAATATGATATATAAGGCTGACCTTAAAAATATCTTTGTTTCACCAAACCCGACCCACAATCGAGGAGAAGGGTCGGTAGGTCGGTTTTTTTTTCAGATTTTTTTTTAAAGTCAGAGAAATCAATACAGAAAACTTATTAGCTGTATACTACAGATTCATTAATTTTGTTTAATGAATTTGGGGTCTGACGTAAAAAGTAACGAACTGAAAGTTTTTATTAAACTTAAGAGCTAATTTGACAGCTTAATAATTTTCCGGGTGGAAACATTCGTCTTCTTTATTGGCAAACAAATCAATGACATCGGGATTTTTCGTGATGATCGACTCGCACACGATTTGCCACGAGCTTGAAGTGTGAAACTCCTTCAACACGTTTTTAACGATAGTGCGGGTTGTGCCTTCATTTTTCTCGAAAACGGATATTGAAAATATCGTCGTCATGTTTAAAACTACGCACCACAGACATAGAGGCAGAATCATTTCGTGGGAATGGACATGTATTCGTCTGCAACCATTTTGTTGAGAAGCGACACCTATGACGCTTTCGTCTTGATCAACCAGTTTCAATAATGAATCAAACCATAGCCATAGTAAAGGGAAATAACTCTCATGATATATTTCAGGTTGACACACAAAATAAAATAAAAAGATCGTGGAAAAGTACAATAAAATAATTTAAGTCGGGGGTGGTTTTAGTTAGTCGGTCGCGTTAGGCGAAACAAAGATATTTTTAAGGTCAGCCTAAGTAGGGTATATGGGCCGTATATGATATATTATAGGTATATGACCGTGTATAATATGATATATAAGTAGGGTATATGGGCCGTATATGATATATTATAGGTATATGGTCAGTAGATGAAGTATATGATAATGAATCAGACTATGATAAAAATGTTCACGATACGTATATTGTTATTGATGAGGATGCCGATATTGATGAATCACCTGGTAGTGAATTATCCAGTGGTGGTGACGACAACGTCAGACAGGTAATTTATTCACTCTAAAGGTAAACTAGGAATAAAATACCTGTCCCAGGTCAGACAGGTAATTTATTCACTCTACAGATAAAACTAGGAATAAAAAACCTGTCCCAGGTAAGGCAGGTAATTTATTCACTCTACAGGTAAAACTAGGAATAAAATACCTGTCCCAGACGTCAGACAGAAATTAACGAATTCCATCTATGTCTGAAACAACCCCTGTGCCTGTTGTCCAACACAGATTTTGTGGAGCAAACTGGGTTTTATTTTTTGATGATATTTATGATAAATGTCAGGTATATGTTGAAATTGGTCAGGTATTGTTCATTATTGTCTGACATTTTGTCTACTATAACTAAAATGACTAATTTCGGATCTGCGTAAAAGGTAATATAACCACCAGGCAGGTACACTGGCATCTTCTCACTTGACAGGTAAAACTCAGATCTAGCTGTTCCACAAGTAGTTATTCTTGGTCGTCTACTACAACTTGTTTGTCTTTTGTTGAGTGACTTGACCTGATCTTTTTTTCGTTAAGTTGCTATTATTTTTTATACCTTTGTTTATTACAGGTGATAACGTGACTGTTGTTTATTACAGGTGATAAGTGACTATTGTTTATTACAGGTTATAAAGTGACTGTTGTTTATTACAGGTGATAAAGTGACTATTGTTTATTACAGGTTATAAAGTGACGGTTGTTTATTACAGGTGATAAAGTGACTATTGTTTATTACAGGTAAAAAGAGAAGTAAAGGTATTATTATCTATTGTAAAATATTTACTTCCAAGAGTTGGTTCAGCTGTCAAGATATTTAGTCTAGCCTATAGTCAGGGGATCAGTAATGGCATGGTAAATATATATGTTTAATTTAAAACTATCCTCAGATAACAACCAGCCATTGACAACAATTGTTACTAGGCAACATTCTCACCTACATTTAATTAGGTCTGTGAAAACTTCTCACGGATCATCAAAAATTGCAGTTTGCAAATTCATTAAAATTAATGCCATTGTCCTTATAAGACATATAGAGGTAGATTTCACAAATTAAAGACACTTATATGGTTATACTACTTCTAAATTTATTAACATGCTACGTTTCTATACACATACAGATATCATTATCATTATTTGCTTGATAATGATATCTGTATGTGTATCAAAACGTAGCATGTTAATAAATTCAGAAGTAGTATAACCATATAGGTTTCTTTAATTAATGCCATTGTACAAAACATCATTCTGACATGATATCGCGGTCATCTGGGGGTGTTACATTTGGAATGTGTCTCTCAAATAACAGTAGGACGTTAAACCCCATTTCACATTTAAAATTGGTGCGTTTTCATTTGAAAAGCTGTGAACTGTTTAAGGACTGATTCAGTTTGAGCAGAAGTTTCCAACGGTTGCGAAACTGAGCGGCTAAATTCAATTATTAATGTCAACACTTTTCGGGGGACCAGAAGAATCAATATTTAACATTTTTTTTTTAGGTTAAAAGAATACTGAAACTTTGTCCGAATCTTGAGCATTTGAACTTACGACAAACCCGAGTAACAGATGGCGCTTTTAAGATGTAAGTACGAAATAGATTGACTCACAAACAGCGTTAAATGCACAATCTGATTACAACACAGATCCTATTTCGTTTTTTTTTTTTGTTTTTTTTTTTTTGTTCAAAATTTCGTTTTACTTGTCTTTACTACACTAGGATCTGGAAGAGTTGTTATATAACCCGTATATTGGATGATGTGAGGGATTAGCCAATGAAACGGTCTGTTACGGCGAGTTTTTGGCATGAGGTGCATGGAACTGTGGGTAACCTACTAGAAACATCAACGCTAATTGGTTAATTAAATGTCTGACATCATAGAGTCAAAAGCGCTAGTATGACCTCTGGCGCGACCTATTGCAACAACCGGTCAGATCTTTGTGTTGTGTAGGCCATCGAAAGTATAAAAAAAAAAAAAAAAAAAAAAAAATATAGATCTGTATTTTAATTATATTTTGACCAACAAAAAAACATGATTTAATTAAGTTGTACATAACTGATCCCATGTTAGCTGAAAAATTTTCTCAAGATTTTTAAGCGTGGTTTCCCCTTGTCAGTCTGGCAAGGAACATCGTCTAGTTGTTCGGATGGGACAAAAAACTGAAGTGTGCAATGTACACAAACTCTGTGCAGTTGTAATTGAAAGAAGGGGTAGGCAGAAACTCAGATATCCAGGCAAAATTTAGTGTTAGAACTGTCAGGGACATTTATCTTTTTAAAAAAGTTAACGGTGATTTGCACCCGTTTTAGAAATAAACCCCTGACACAGAGAATAACAAGCACAAATTCTGAGTTTATCAGACACGATCCCTCTGATGGCTGACATTTTGTCCAGCATAGATATTTCATTTTTGTTCAATACCAAGTTCAAAGTGCCAGGCACTAGTTCATCAGTACTTGACTTTTTGTCCTATAGAAGTAAATCATTCTTTCACAAGACCTTATTCATACAATGCTTACCATTGGCTGAAAGTTAAGATCTTAGCCTTTTTCATTGGTTGTAAGTACAAATCAGAGCTCTTAGCCAATGAAAAGGCTGGATTTCAAACATATTTCGTGAATAAGACTCCTGGTCTGTAAATACTATTTTTTTTACGTGTGAAAATGAATTTCTTATTTCAGATTTGGGCAGACAAAATGTGGAAAGAAGTTACGTCATATTGATCTTAGTGGGTGTGACGGAATTACAGACGGAACTCTTCGTAAAATATCACAAATCTTTACAGATACTACCAACGTAAAACAAAACAAAATCCCGGCAAAAACATTACAAAACTGTGTTGAAACAAAAGACAATATTAGTGCTGTTCCTGAATTGGTAAATCACTTCATGTGTTCACAGTGCGGACGTAAGAACATCGGTGATTCGATAAACGATAAATTAGGATCAAGCGAAACGCTAGTGTCAGTTGATTCCACGGTGTCTATTTTACAGGATTGTTTATTTGAGAATTATTCGACGTGCGATCAGTCGACAGGTTTGTCTGAACTACAGATGGAGTTTGATCAATTGGTTTCATTGGTAAAGGGGGATAACTCTGACCCATATCAAACACAAACAAAGATTGACTTTAGTATGGTGGTACCAACAATGGCAACAGAACAAGAGGTGTCGTCGTCGACAACTGTTAATGATTCAAACCTCTCTAGTGATACTGATGATACCACAGAGATTCCTGCAGTATCCCAACTGGAATATTTAAATCTCTCTGGTTGCCATCGACTTACAGATACTGGAATTGGGTAAGTTTGTCTGGTTGCCATAGATACTTAAATTCCATATGGTTATGTGATTGACCAAATAGAAGCTTTCTAACCAACATTTACTTGAGTTGTTCCCCTTGATAAACTTTTTAGTTTTTTGTAAATTCCCCCCCCCAAAATGAAAACATATCCCTTGGGTGGAAGCTGACGTTAAATAAAGCCCTTTCATACACACACGTGGACTGCATGGCAGACCTGCTTACTGTGCGTGGTATGTCTCGTTGCTTGACTTAAAAGATTTTGCCAGTCAATAATTTGTTTACTTCAGTTAAGACTGGAAGATACTTCACTGAATTAATGTATCGCATTTCGGCTTCTTGTGATTCGCGTATTGCATCCTGATATGCTGTATCGCGATTCTTTTTTATATTTTTTTTTTATCTCATCAGTAAGTAACCTGTCACTCTTAATTATCCGAGTCATAGTTATCTTAAATTGTTTTGGTCCTTATTTTCATCGACATCAATATCGTGATATAAAACAGTTTTATTTCTTCAACATCTGCAGGATTAAAAAAATCAATTACTCATTTATCCTGTCGTTTTCTTGGTAAATATTGGCCTGGTTATGAATCATGATACTCTACAAAACGTATCGTAGCCTCTGAATTGCAATATTTATCGTATCGGGACGACAGTAGCAATACCCAGCACTAGAAGACGGTGATGCAGGACGGAGGGCCTGACAAAGACAGCTGTCTAGTCATTCGGATGAGACGAAAAACCGAGGTCCCGTGTACACATTGGCGTGCACGTAAAAGATCCCTTGACAGTTGGAATTCGATATAAGAGTACATGTAGGCCATAGTGCCGCTGTCCGGGCAAAATTTCCCTCTTAGCACACTGTATGGCGTATGCCCGTCTTCATTAGCCCAGTTCGGAGCAAAACAGTAGGACGTTAAACTCCATTTCATTTCATTTATTGTGGGAGCTACGGTGGATGAGCAAGTAAGACACTGGCTCGCAGGTCTCGGGTTCGATCCTGGTGTTAGCCAAGATGGTTTCTCTGGATTATCTGGCGTTGTCCCCCCCTCAGTGGTGCACGTAAAAGAACCCTCAATAACTGGAATTCGAAGTAGAGTAAGTTGGTATCATTGTTGCAGGACGGAGGGCCTGACAAGGACAGCTGTCTAGTCTTTTGGATGGGAGAAAAAAATGTGGTCCCATGTATACATTGGCATGTACGTAAAAGATCCCTTGGCAGTTGGAATTCGATATAAGAGTAGGCCATAGTTTTGCCATCTGGGCAAAATTTCCCTCATAGCACACTGTATGAGGTATGCCTGTGTTCATTAGACCATTCGGAACAGAACAGTAGGGCGTTAAACCCGATTTGATTTTATCTCATTTGCAAACATTGAACACTTCACACAAGTTTTATATACTTTTATTTTTTTATTTATATATTGCCATAAGGGCAAAGATTTATTTTCGGGCAATGAAAAATTCGACGACCTTTTTTTTCTATTAACGTTTAGAGAAAAAATATAACTAACTTATTTCTATGAGATCCACACTGCCCGAAAAGTATTTTCTCGTCTTTTTCTTGTCCACTGCATGCCCAAAAATATGCCCGAAGCTCTCTTTATGATATGTATGCCCGAAAAACCGTATTGATTTCGGGCAATTTTTTCTTATGCCCCCCTGAATTACTTTGAGCTCCTACGCCTATGTATATTGCGATAATATTTCTGGTTTTAACGTAACTACATTTGTTACAGATATTTAATGAAGATGGAAAGATTGCCGTGTTTACGATATCTGGATTTATCAGGATGTTTCAATATGACTGGTTCCGTCATCCGTCAACTGGTCAATATCTGTGCTGTGTTAGATCACTCACAACTCTACTACTGCGATAACTTGTCGGAAGATCCATTCCCACAGACGGCCAGCGGTTGTCTAAACGTCGACTGTCAATCTCGATACTGCTGCAGAAAGTAAAAGTACATGTAAGTACGTTGGTTACAACAGATAGACATTAAATAGGGATGTCCACTTGACACAGACTAGGTCATTTCGGAACTAATACATGGTTCAGTTTTATTTCAATAATTCGCTTGCACATAGGGGTCTTTAGCAGTGGGAGGAAACCGGAGGACCTAGAAAAAACCCACGAGGTTGGTCAGGCGACCCTACTCCTTGTCATGTACAACCGGCGAATCGAAACATGCCATTCGGGCATACAACCACTAAATGTCTGAGAACTTGTCAATATTTGACGAAAAGTTCCATTGCCCATGCATAACCGAGAGTTTGGTTTATTATGTGGTTGATTATCCAGTATATTTGGCCAAGTTCAGTAAGAGTTGCTCCCCTTCCCGTAATGAATCCCATAATTCTTGCATTATTATAAACAAACATTAATCGTGACGATGAATTAGGATTAATTAAGAAAACATAGATATTGCCCATGAAGAGAAATTTACAATAATAAAAATTAAGAGTGTTGGATATTGAACCAGCAATGCAATCAAATGTATTTTCTCAAATGGCATGCTTAAAGGAGCTAAATCGCTAACATTTGGGACCTAGAAATTGACAAAAGTGGGTCGCAACGCATATAATACTGTACTATGAATGTATATAAACTGATTTACATTCAGTGGTTTCCGTTTTTACTCCAATTTCAAATCAGTTATGCTCGGCGAAATAAGCCAGCAGTCTCGAGCCAGTGCAAATTTCTAGCGTCTGGTTATTCCAGTCTACATACGCCGTTTGATTTGGTGCAATGTGTCTAGCCTCGTCCCTCGAGTCTCTTGATAGAACTGGGACTGAAGCGCATTATGGTACACGATTCGTGTACCAATGGTAAAATGTTTTTTTTGTCTTAAATATTGGATATCAAAAGCCCATCTTTTTCCGGTAAGATCACAACATGAATGTTGATTTAATTTGACAAATAAATCGTGTTTTCAATGTTGAAGATTTTGGATGATATTGAGTTAGAGACTTAGCTACTTTAAGTTAATTTCATGGGCATCGGTCAACATCTTGTTTTAGGACTAGTTACCCTCCTTGGACTTTGTTTATGATAATGTAAAGACTGGATAATCTAGCCAATGACCTAGTATTTTTCTGGATGATAGAGACTACTGAGAAGGGGGAAACTGCACTGGGAATTCCTAAGGAACTCTCTCGGCCAACACCAGGAAAGTTTGTGTTGTGAATGATATGATATTCCGTAAAGCGGCTGCGCCTCACATAATCAAATGATACTTTTGTGTATTTTTTCAGATTTTCTGGCAACCAGTGCTACTATTTATTGTTTGAGGGTGATCAAAGGACAAGCTGTTTTTATCCAGTGACAGCCATTTTTAATATTCTGTCTAATTCATATATATATCTATACATGTACATCTATACAGTGTAATAATGAATTGAACATTTATATAGAGTCTCCGAAATCCTACTGTTTACAAATTAAAATGTTAAAAGGACAGTTTATTTTACAGGTCTCAAAAATTGAAAATGAAGACTTATGATACATTAAAATGAAGATGTATATCTAAATGTAAAAATAAAGACTTTTATTACATCTAAATGTAAAAATGAAGACTTATGTTATATCTAAATGTAAAATGAAGACTAATGTTACATCTGAATGTTAAAATGAAGACTTTTATTACATCTAAATGTAAAAATGAAGACTTTTATTACATCAAAATGTAAAAATGAAGACTTTTATTACATCTAAATGTAAAAATGAAGACTTTTATTACATCTAAATGTAAAAATGAAGACTTATGTTATATCTAAATGTAAAATGAAGACTAATGTTACATCTGAATGTTAAAATGAAGACTTTTATTACATCTAAATGTAAAAATGAAGACTTTTATTACATCTAAATTATAAAAATGAAGACTTTTATTACATCTAAATGTAAAAATGAAGACTCATGATACATCTAAACGTAAAAATGAAGACTTATGTTACATCTAAATGTTAAAATGAGACTAATGTTACATCAACATGTAAATGTAAAAATGAAGACTATGTTACATCTAAATGTAAAAATGAAGGCTTTTATTACATCTAAATGCAAAAATGAAGAATTTTATTACATCTTAATGTTAAAATGAAGACTTTTATTACATCTAAATGTTTAAAAAAGTAAATGTTATATGATTTTAACAATTTTTTGTTTCGTTTTTTTTCTTTCTTACTCTGTGCCACGGCTATTAAAATTGGTCTTTCTGTTTATTAAAATTTGTCTTTTTGTTTGTGGGATCAATAACTCGGATTTGAATTGAGTTAGAAACTTGAAACAATAACTCGGATTTGAATTGAGTTAGAAACTTGAAACTTAAAGGAGTTAAATTACTAATATTTGGGACCTAGAAATTGACACAAATGGATTGCAACGCATATAATAATGTAATATGAATGTATATAAACTGATTTACATTCAATCGTTTCTGTTTTACTGTAATTTCTAATCAGTTATGTTTGGCGAAATACGCCACAAGTCTCAATCAAATGGCAATCTCTAGCGTCTGGTTATTCTGGTCTACAACGATAGTATTTATTGCGCATGCTCTCCAGATAAGCATATGACGTCACTGTTCGACATAATTTGTGGAATATGTCTAGCCCACAGGCACTTGAAGGGATTAAAATAAAACTTCTTACTACTGCTTGGCTATATATACTCAGCCAAATTAAAAACTTGACACTCAGGATTTTTGGGACTAGATTTTTAATATTTGGTTTAAGGCAACTATTTTAGTGTTATGTTGTGCACAGACGACCTTGACATCAACAGAAAGCAAGAATACGTCTCGCCGAAAGTCCTTGACATTGATAACGTTCGTGATGTCACAGTACCCCCCAAAATGAAATTCACAGACTTAGAGAACAATCGGAATAAAGTGTTTAGTAACGGTTGTGGTCTCCTCTAGCGTCGCGTACTGCCACACAACGTCTTCTCATGGATCTCAGAACATTAGTAAACACTACCCGAGGAAGACGTCGCCACTGCTCAGCAAGAGCATGTTGAATGTCCTGCAACTTCAGTGGTGGATTCACTTGCTGACGAACACGTCGACCCAGTTCGTCCCAGATGTGTTCAATAGGATTAAGGTTGGCATGTACGTAAAAGATCCCTTGGCAGTTGGAATTCGATATAAGAGTAGGCCATAGTTTTGCCATCTGGGCAAAATTTCCCTCATAGCACACTGTATGAGGTATGCCTGTGTTCATTAGACCATTCGGAACAGAACAGTAGGACGTTAAACCCGATTTGATTTTATCTCATTTGCAAACATTGAACACTTCACACAAGTTTTATATACTTTTATTTTTTTATTTATATATTGCCATAGGCGTAGGGGCAGGGGGGGCATTTGCCCCCCCAAAGATTTATTTTCGGGCAATGAAAAATTCGACGACCTTTTTTTTCTATTAACGTTTAGAGAAAAAATATAACTAACTTATTTCTATGAGATCCACACTGCCCGAAAAGTATTTTCTCGTCTTTATCTTGTCCACTGCATGCCCGAAAATATGCCCGAAGCTCTCTTTATGATATGTATGCCCGAAAAACCGTATTGATTTCGGGCAATTTTTTCTTATGCCCCCCTGAATTACTTTGAGCTCCTACGCCTATGTATATTGCGATAATATTTCTGGTTTTAACGTAACTACATTTGTTACAGATATTTAATGAAGATGGAAAGATTGCCGTGTTTACGATATCTGGATTTATCAGGATGTTTCAATATGACTGGTTCCGTCATCCGTCAACTGGTCAATATCTGTGCTGTGTTAGATCACTCACAACTCTACTACTGCGATAACTTGTCGGAAGATCCATTCCCACAGACGGCCAGCGGTTGTCTAAACGTCGACTGTCAATCTCGATACTGCTGCAGAAAGTAAAAGTACATGTAAGTACGTTGGTTACAACAGATAGACATTAAATAGGGATGTCCACTTGACACAGACTAGGTCATTTCGGAACTAACACATGGTTCAGTTTTATTTCAATAATTCGCTTGCACATAGGGGTCTTTAGCAGTGGGAGGAAACCGGAGGACCTAGAAAAAATCCACGAGGTTGGACAGGCGACCCTACTCCTTGTCATGTACAACCGGCGAATCGAAACATGCCATTCGGGCATACAACCACTAAATGTCTGAGAACTTGTCAATATTTGACGAAAAGTTCCATTGCCCATGCATAACCGAGAGTTTGGTTTATTATGTGGTTGATTATCCAGTATATTTGGCCAAGTTCAGTAAGAGTTGCTCCCCTTCCCGTAATGAATCCCATAATTCTTGCATTATTATAAACAAACATTAATCGTGACGATGAATTAGGATTAATTAAGAAAACATAGATATTGCCCATGAAGAGAAATTTACAATAATAAAAATTAAGAGTGTTGGATATTGAACCAGCAATGCAATCAAATGTATTTTCTCAAATGGCATGCTTAAAGGAGCTAAATCGCTAACATTTGGGACCTAGAAATTGACAAAAGTGGGTCGCAACGCATATAATACTGTACTATGAATGTATATAAACTGATTTACATTCAGTGGTTTCCGTTTTTACTCCAATTTCAAATCAGTTATGCTCGGCGAAATAAGCCAGCAGTCTCGAGCCAGTGCAAATTTCTAGCGTCTGGTTATTCCAGTCTACATACGCCGTTTGATTTGGTGCAATGTGTCTAGCCTCGTCCCTCGAGTCTCTTGATAGAACTGGGACTGAAGCGCATTATGGTACACGATTCGTGTACCAATGGTAAAATGTTTTTTTTGTCTTAAATATTGGATATCAAAAGCCCATCTTTTTCCGGTAAGATCACAACATGAATGTTGATTTAATTTGACAAATAAATCGTGTTTTCAATGTTGTTTTAGGATTAGTTACCCTCCTTGGACTTTGGTTATGATAATGTAAAGACTGGATAATCTAGCCAATGACCTAGTATTTTTCTGGATGATAGAGACTACTGAGAAGGGGGAAACTGCACTGGGAATTCCTAAGGAACTCTCTCGGCCAACACCAGGAAAGTTTGTGTTGTGAATGATATGATATTCCGTAAAGCGGCTGCGCCTCACATAATCAAATGATACTCTTGTGTATTTTTTCAGATTTTCTGGCAACCAGTGCTACTATTTATTGTTTGAGGGTGATCAAAGGACAAGCTGTTTTTATCCAGTGACAGCCATTTTTAATATTCTGTCTAATTCATATATATATCTATACATGTACATCTATACAGTGTAATAATGAATTGAACATTTATATAGAGTCTCCGAAATCCTACTGTTTACAAATTAAAATGTTAAAAGGACAGTTTATTTTACTCGTCTCAAAAATTTAAAATGAAGACTTATGATACATTAAAATGAAGATGTATATCTAAATGTAAAAATAAAGACTTTTATTACATCTAAATGTAAAAATGAAGACTTATGTTATATCTAAATGTAAAATGAATACTAATGTTACATCTGAATGTTAAAATGAAGACTTTTATTACATCTAAATGTAAAAATGAAGACTTTTATTACATTTAAATGTAAAAATGAAGACTTTTATTACATCTAAATGTAAAAATGAAGACTTGTGTTATATTTAAATGTAAAATGAAGACTAATGTTACATCTGAATGTTAAAATGAAGACTTTTATTACATCTAAATGTAAAATGTAAAAATGAAGACTCATGATACATCTAAACGTAAAAATGAAGACTTATGTTACATCTAAATGTTAAAATGAGACTAATGTTACATCAACATGTAAATGTAAAAATGAAGACTATGTTACATCTAAATGTAAAAATGAAGGCTTTTGTTACATCTAAATGCAAAATTGAAGAATTTTATTACATCTTAATGTTAAAATGAAGACTTTTATTACATCTAAATGTTTAAAAAAGTAAATGTTATATGATTTTAACAATTTTTTGTTTCGTTTTTTTTCTTTCTTACTCTGTGCCACGGCTATTAAAATTGGTCTTTCTGTTTATTAAAATTTGTCTTTTTGTTTGTGGGATCAATAACTCGGATTTGAATTGAGTTAGAAACTTGAAACAATAACTCGGATTCGAATTGAGTTAGAAACTTGAAACTTAAAGGAGTTAAATTACTAATATTTGGGACCTAGAAATTGACACAAATGGATTGCAACGCATATAATAATGTAATATGAATGTATATAAACTGATTTACATTCAATCGTTTCTGTTTTACTGTTATGTGGGTTTAATCCCACTGGGGGTGTCACTATTTCTCAATCTTTTAACTCTCAATAAAGAAAACACCATTCAATGATCCACATGTTTATTCTCTTCTCCCAAGGGCAGATCACTCATACAAAGTAGAAACATCAATAATTCTTTTTATAAATCAAAGGCAAAGACAGTTAAAGGGAGGTAACTCTTTCAAGCTTAACTAAGATTCAGACCACAATTAACTACTTATGTAACTAGACTTATCACTATATAACATCCCTCCCTCCTAAGTCAAAAACACAGTTTTTGGAAAAACTAGTTTGACAATACATATCATCTATGTTTGTAAAAATACTAATGTGTAACATATATTACAAAGCATGAAACTTTGAACAAATCAAAGACATCTTAAAAAATGAGTAAACAAATCAGAATAGGTTTATTAAAATGCTCCAAAACCCCCAAAAGCATGTAGTATATATTACCAAGAATAGATTGCTTTAAAATATGCTATACAGGTGGGTCTATGAATAAACAAGATTCAGAGATGTTAGAATAACACTTATGTTATAATCCCCAAATGAATGTAAAACAATAATTATTATAACAAGGTTTGATATTTCCTTAGGCTACCAGTTACTTGTAGTTTATTATCATTGATAAGTCCATTGGCTACATTAAACAAAACAGGAGATGAGTTAACTGGTATCCAGGAAGAAGTTTGACCTTTCTTGACATTAGAGGTAGTTATCAAAACTTGCAATGAAAAACATTTGAACCTAGCTTTATGCAGTTCCATAGAAGACACATTAGACATTTCCTGTAACATCTTACATTGTTCTGATAACTGATAGTGTGATAACTTATCTACATAAGCAATATTATGATTATTTGTACTATTTGGGAGATAATGACAAATATTAATAGGATTTGTAGACCTATTAGAAACAATATCACTCTCATCAAATATAGGTAAGATAACATCACATTCATCCGTAATGAAACATTGATTAGTTTCAGTTAAAA